CGTTGAGGTGGAGGTGGAGAACAGGGAGATAGGAGTCGTGGCATCTTTGCCGGTCGCCTATCATGAGGTGATGGTGGAGAAGAGGCTCGATGATGTGACGGGATAGGTGATGGCTCTCGTTCTAGAGATGTATAGTCGGGTCGATCGGGTGATGGCTCTAGGTGAGGTGATGGCTCTCGAATTGGAGGAAGTGGATGCTGCTCATCATCCGTGCCATCAAAAAAATTCTGACTAGCTTGCCACCAATCAGTGGCAAGCTCTTCCTCCGTGGGTGTCAGTCTTTGTAATGGAATGTTGGCCTCCTAAAATATAAAAACTCAAACAAAGTTAAACGTCTACTATTAATAACTTGTTTATATATTATATGAAAGTATTTGTGTTAACTTACATTATTTATTGTGGCATATGGTATTAAGTCTTCCCAATCCAACAGAGTTTTCCTCTTCCAGGAAATAGCCCTGGGAATATCATTTGACGTTTTTATTGCATATGTACGCATGCTGGGGAAAGCCTCGAATATCCAAATCTACAAACAATATAATAACAAAATTAGTAATTGTTAAATAATTAATTATAATTTTAGAAACATTATATAGAAATTCTTACCTTAAAGGCCCAAACAAAGCCTGACAAAGTGTATTTGGACCCATCGCCCCGCAAACTTTTGCGGTCATCAAAGGCAGACGACAACTTAGTCCAGGTAGCTTTCCATATATACGAACCCCACGGAAACAGATTCCATGCATTCAGGTCCTCTACCAATATTATTAGCTCCCGATGAATAGGTTGTCTGGCCTCTCTGCCTAAAAAGCCGGCATACACAAGTAGTAGAAGGCATACTCGGACAACATCGACGTCTTCCATCCGAGTGAAACCAGCTTTCTTATTAAATAATTTCTTCAGGTCGTCGACATGTAGGTTCGGCTTCTCCATTGACTCATCCGGAAAAACCCGGGATAACCATGATGGGCGGGCGATATGACGAGTGTACCGGCCTACATCATCGTGTCCGAATCGTAGACCAGTGATTAAGCAGAACTCCTTCCGCCCAAAGCAAGTATACGCTGGTGGAAAATGAAACCATATCTCTTCCTCACCACGTTGTATACTGTCGGGTAGATTTGATGTCATGGTCTGAAGCCACAAATGGGTCAAATTAGCATCTCCACCCGGATGCTGTACTCTCAGCCATGGCCCGAAGCAGGTTTCCTCAAACAATTGTCTTTGAGCAGGTGAAAGCTTCTTTGCAATTGTAGTGGCCAGGCTGACTTTATTTCTCAAGGTCAATTGAGCCGAAAAAAATTTCTACAAAAACAATAAACATACCAAGTTAGATATACCAAAAACTACACTGTGAAGATATACCAAAAACAATAAACATAAAAAGTAGTAGTTTATTCTTTAAACTAAAATTTGCAACACTGTTTTGTCTTTTGGTTGAAATGAAAATCGCAACGAGAGAATCGCAACGCGAGATGACAATCGCAACGATAGAATCGCAACGCGAAATGAAAATCGCAACGAGAGAATCGCAACGCGAAATGAAAATCGCAATGCGATTTTGGTTTCGCGTTGCGATTCTCTCGTTGCGATTTCCATTTCGCGTTGCGATTCTCTCGTTGCGACAGTCATTCTCTCGTTGCGATTTTCATTTATCTCGTTGCGACTCTTCTGCAAATTGAAACTTGAATGGATTGCATTACTTCAACCAAAAGACAGAACAAAGACAAAGACAAATACTAACTTGAAAATCGCAACGAGAGAATAGCAACACGAAATGAAAATCGCAACGACAGAATCGTAACGCGAAATGAAATCTAAGTGAAATGGTTAATCTATTATTGAAATGACCAGTAAACTTATCATCAGTTTCAATATGAAAAACCTACAATAATGCAAACATTTCAAAATAAAAATAATTAAAAAAACTAACCCTCGGAGGTTGATTTTCCATTTCTGAATATTGTGAGGGATTTCTGACCGTGAATGGTTGTGAGGGATTTCGCCGGAGATGGGGACGGAAATCTTCGGAGATGGGGACGGATTTCTTCGCCGTAGAGAGTGAGAGATGGAGATGGGACTGAGTTGTGATTTTAGGTTTTAGGTTATGAGTTGCGATTACGGGATTTTGTCTTAATATTCTTTTTGTAATTTGAAAATAAAATACGCGTAGCGATTATAATGGCGCTTTAAATATCGCGTTGCGATTTACGGATACGCGTTGCGATTTTATGTATTATCGTTGCGATTTACGGATACGCGTTGCGATATACGGATACGCATTGCGATTTACCCATACGCGTTGCGATTTACGGATACACGTTGCGATTTACGGATACGCGTTGCGATTTATGTGTTCGCGTTGCGATTTTCATATTCGCGTTGCGATTTTGGAAAATCGCAATGCGAATTTGTACTATCGCATCGCGATTTTCAAGAATCGCGTTGCGATTTTGGAAACTGATTTGCGATTCTGGAAACTGATTTGCGATTCTGGGGATCGCGTTGCGATTTTTATTTCGCGTTGCGATTTTGTTGGTCATTTTGGCAAATCCAAAAAAAGTTGGTTAAAATCGTATATTATAACTTTTTTTTGGTCACTGAGGCGATTTTCTCTTAAAATAAAGGTAAAACTGGCGAAGAATATAATTTTATTAAATAATCATATTTAAATTTTATATTAAAAATCAAAAGCCGTTTTTATTAAGTCAAAATCATTTTTGTTAATTATTTATTAACATTAAAAGTATTTCTTAGAAAATTTACAAACAAATTAAATACTAACTTTAGTGAGAAGTATATATATTTATTTATTTTTTAAAATTTTAAATTTAATTTTAATATTATTTTAAAGGAGATGAGAAGGAAGAATTGTTTGAGAAAGAAAGATAATACTCTTAATGAATTTAAAATAATCACTAGGGGTGATTATTGAGCTAGTCGATCACGAGTTGGGTAGTGCTCGACTTGTGCTCTTTAAAAAAAAATTGTTGCTCGATTCGACTCGTTGCTCGTTAAACTCGTTAAAATTTTACTCGATTTGTGCTCGTTAAAAAAACTTATTGCTCGACTCATGCTCGTTAAGCTCGTTGCTCGTTAAAATCATTGCTCAGTTCGTTGCTCATTAAACTCACTGAAATTTTTATCTTATTTTTTTTAACTATAAGTAAAATCTAATACTATAAATTAATAGATTAGTCATTTATCATGTTTTTATCTATTAGTAAATTTTTAATTTTTGAATGAAATAATTTTTTAAAATAATTTTTTAAAATAATTACTAAAATTATAAAACAATTAACGAGTTGCTCATGAACTTATCGAGTCGAGTTGAATTTTGCTCGACTCAACTTGTTAAGATCTCAAATCAAGTTCGAGTCAAGTTAACCCTAGTCAAGTTTTTATTGAATTTTTACCGAGAAAAATTCGAGTTGCTCACGAACTGCTCAACTCATTAAACACTTTTAATAATGACCTATAAAAATATAAAAGAATAAAATAAATAATTCAATTAGTCGATTAAAATGTGATCGTTCTACTTAGACATGCATATGGTCGGATAAAAAATCGATCCGATTTTTTCATCTAGTCAAAAAATTAGATTTAAAAAAAATCGGTTCGGATTCTATCCAGTTTGGAGGGTCGGATGGTGTAACCGATTTTTTAAAAAATTCGGTTTTTAATCTGGTAAAAAATCCGGTCGTCAAATTTTTTAAATCCCAGACAGTATTTTTTTCGGATAAAAAACTAGTTTTTTATCCGATTTTTAATATGGTAAAAAATCCGGTCGTCCAATTTTTTCCCAAACCGGTTATACTATCCGATTTTAAAATATCCGATCTAATTTTAAAATATTCGATCCAATTTTTAAAAAAACCGATTTTTTTCAAATCAAATTTCAAATATTTTTTACGTAAATTCGGATATTCAGATTTTTTTTTTTTTGCTACCTCTGGTTCTACTACATATATATTTATAAAATGTGAAAAAATCAATATACGAAAAGGACAGGGTCCCACTTTGCTTTCCTCTACAATTTTGCCATTTTATTTGCTTTCGTTTATGTTTTCTTCCGATTGAATACTTGATTTTCTCTCTCTTTACACTTTTTCTCAGCTTATGCCATCACGTTTCCTAATATATTAAGGTGCGGACTGTAGAACTTTCCATATCTCCTGCTTGCATAAACTGAAAGCACAGGATCAAAAGATTAAGAGCAAAAATTAAGAGAAATTAATAGTGAGGATGGACAGATAGACAGGGAGCGGCAAATTCTGGAAAGCTCATTGTCCCCTTATGTTTTCTCTTCTATTCTGAAGGTAAATTACTTTTTTTTTCTTAATTTGATTTTCCTTTCTGGGTATTTTTCTTTTCTTCACTTGATTTTAGTTTTGGATTTTAATTATAGAGTTTACATCTTTGGATTAAGGTTCAATTTTCCTTTGATTTAAGTTAAATCTTTTGCCTTTTTTGGATATTAGATTGTTTCATTTTACATGCTTTGAAATTGAATTAGTTTTGCTGATATTTCTTTTTCTCGAATGCTTATTCCCCTGCCTGTTCCCCTTTTTACTAAAAACTTTTTTTTGTCATTTTTTCTCTTATTTTATTTCACTGTTTTAGTCGTGATGGATGACTCTAAAATTTGATGAGTGTGTTTGTGTTTGTTTTGGACATTTACTAATTCTCTTGTTCACATTGATTTATTGGTGCTTAAAACTGTTTATTTTTTGACTCTGACCATAACATTATAGAGGCTTTTCCCCTTAAATAGTGCTTGATCACGTGAAGTTTTCTATGATTACATTGTCTTCTGGAATGTTGACCCTCAGCTGTATCATTATTGTATGAGCAGCAGGAATTAAGCAACCTCTAGTCTGTAGTCAGTGGATATTCCAGTTTTCCCACTGATTAACTTGCTTTTATACGTCAAACAAGAGCTGAATTCTCTTGTAACAACCATCTTTTTTTTACCTTTGACAGCTATTGAAAGTGCACGGAGGAGTGGCCAAGTCTATGATCGTCTCTGAAGCTACTCGCTCCGGTTGATATATTGTTTGCTGACAAGCTTTTATCCCTTGTTAGGAGTTGTGTGATTGAAATGGGTTACATTTGTGATTTCTGTTGTGAACAGCCGTCTATAGTATATTGTCGGTCTGATGCTGCCTGTTTATGTTTGTCTTGCGATCAAAGTGTCCATTCTGCTAATGCACTGTCGAAACGTCATTTAAGAACACCGTTGTGTGGAAGATGCAATTTTCAACCTGCTTTTGTTAGATGTGCAGAAGAAAGGGTATCCCTATGTCAGAACTGTGATCTGATGGGTCACAGTACCTCTACCTCGAATCTGACACATAGGAGGGAAACGGTTAACTCTTATTCTGGTTGCCCATCATCTGCCGAACTTTCTTCCATATGGTTGTTTTTCTCGCAATCCCCTTCAGCAGGTGAATCTACTTGTGAGCAGGAATTAAGGGAAATGAGCATCAATGAGAACGTAGAGAGGAATTCGTGGTGTCCTATAGAAAATACCATCAGCCAGAATGATAATGGTGTTGCTGAAGTAAATCATGACCGCAATGTGAATGTAGATAGCAGAAGTACTTGGGATGGATCATCAAATCCGGAACTTGGGTCTGCACCACAATTTCTTCATCAGCCAGCTGGAACAACAGATACATCGTTAACCAAGGTAAATGATGAATTTGTAATATTTATCTTTAAAGAATTTAGATAAATTGTTTTTTAGGTACTTCGAGGCCCTTGCTATCTAAGTTCCATGGGGTAATAATAAACAACTACGGTAAGAAAATGGGTTTATTTGCTAATGCATTCTAAAGTCTGCACTTAATGCTAAAAAACATATTAACACCGAGTATTGAGTGCTAACTGCCAATTTGCTTTTCTTATACTTATTATGTTGGAAATGAAAGCTCCATCCAGGATGTCATTTCTACTTGAATAGATTTTTTGGTAATAGTAAAAGATATTATTCTTTCAGTTTGTATTTTTGTTGGTCTCTTCAGATATTTATGTTTCTTGGCCCAAAAGCAACTTAAATTTGAGTGTAATATTCCAGATAACTATTCATTTAGGCCTTTTGATGTGCAATTACTATGCTAGTAACCTCGTCCACAATCATATATTTTATCTTATGCCTATTTTTGCCATGGGTTCATAAACTTGGAATGTAAATCTCTCCTATTTTACACACATGAGTTTCTATCTGGACTCCTACCATCCATCTATATAATTGAAGTTTTTACACTGTTGTTTTCAATTGAGATGGAAAAAGGGAGTGTGAAGGTGATAGAAAACGAGAAGCCGTGAAAACTGGCAGAGGTCGGTTTTTTTAAAGTTATCAACATTTTATTTTAATCATAAAAGAGTATTGGCAATTTCGTAGTTTGCATTAGATTGTCCGAGATAATTTTTGGCATATTTGTGAAAACTTCATTATTGCACGTTTGCTCGACTATTTGAGAGACAATATGATTAATTTTGGGAACTTTGTCTAATTCTTACCTTGTTAATTTGCAGTTATCTTGCCCTCAAACAAAGTATGCAGGAGTTTGTGAAGACGATCTGTATGATGACTTCAATATGGATGAATTTGATTTGGACCTTGAAAAATATGAAGAACTCTTTGGGGTAACTCTCAATCATTCAGAAGAAATTCTCGAGAATGGTCAAATGGATAGCTTATTTGGGACAAAGGCCATGTCTGTTACTGATTCGTACTGTCAGGGTGCAGTGGCTGCTGAGGTTCTCTCCTCTTTTTTCATCTTGCTTTATGGTATCTGTATGATCTTTTTCTCTGATAGTAATATTACCATTTTTTTTAGGTGTTATGGTTTTGTTTCCTGGTTTTCTTAAATATTCCAGCTTTTAGTTTTTTCCATTCTGTTACTCGGAGTTTTGGTAGGGGTATCAATTTCATCAATAAAATTGATTTTCAGACACGCTTTGTCTGAAATGAAGTTTACTGTCCATTTGTTGATGGTCATTACCAAAGGAACATTTCCCTTGGGTCAGAAGCATCTAGATGAAATCAATAACGTTGGTTTTCAGAAATGACCAATGTACCAAAAGGAAGTTGATTATATAGCTATTATTGGTAGGATTCCTCAAGTTTGTAAGTATACTAGTACTTGATCTTTAAGTATCTTCTTGAATTTGATTATCAATAAATCAAATTTCTTCTTGTGAATTATGCATGTGTCAAATGTTTTCTTACGAAAATTGGAGCTTTAATCTGCTTGAAAATTACATTTTGTGTTTTATCTCCCTTAGGAATCTTACTGCAAGGGATCATCCATAACATGAACCCCTGAGAATTTCAAGTTTCTGTTCAGCAAATGTTCTTATGGTTGTAATTGAATATTCATGTCCAGGACTCATCTCCTGGACTTGTGAATGGAATCCAGCCAGCATTCAGCAATGCCGCATCTGCTGATTCCATGTTGAGCAGTAAAACCGATTCAATTTTGTATTTTACGGCAAGGCAGGACCATTCAAGCTTCTCTTTTTCTGGCCACACTGGAGAGAGTAACGGAGGAGATTACCAAGATTGTGGGGCTTCGTCAATGCTTCTCATGGGACAACCCTCTTGGTGTCCTCCGTCTGCTGAGGGCTCCTTCCCGTCGGCTTCTCGAAGTGATGCTGTCATGCGTTACAAGGAAAAGAAGAAGACACGGAAGTAAGTATCTCATCATTGTAATCTGTGCATTTTAGTTACTAATCCTGCCATTGGAGGGGTCCATTTCACTGTGGTGCTCTCGGGTAAGCAAAACAGAAATTGCAGTCCAATGTCTGCATCTGTGAGTATTTATCAACAACCGATCGGGAAGGTCAATATAGAATCTATATTATGGATCTTTTTAACATATTATTTTACTTCTAGTCTTGTGTGGAATCACCATTTATGCGTTCAATGTCGTCCGTGTTGAATGATAGGTTTGAAAAGCGAGTGAGATATGCCTCTCGCAAAGAAAGGGCTGATGTGCGAAAGCGTGTGAAAGGACGCTTTGTCAAAGCTGGTGGTGCCTATGATTATGATCCGCTGAACCCAACTAGAAGCTGCTGAGACTACAACCTACAACTATGCTTAGAACAAGGAAAGAAACGCCGGGTGTTAGTTGGATACAAAAAATACCATGAATAAATTGGTTGGTCCTAGTTGTCCATCACCGTAAAAGATCATCGGATTGCTGCTTCATTAACAAGATCCACCTCGATCGCCTTTGCTGCCATTACGTCCGAGAAAAGTTCACCTGCTCAAATTATTTTGTTTTTTTCAGTGTGGAAATGAAAATGCTTCCGGATGCTCCAAGTCATGAATATGCTCTGAGTGTTATAGACAAGTATATACTTCTTCTGTAAAAGATGCTGTTTTCATCGACACAGCATGCCTCATGCTTGCAAGACTGAAGTCTTGGCACGTGACACCATGGCATGCAGCCATAGTTTTGTACTTTCTTCTTTATTTTTTAAAAATGTTTATCTTAATGACGTGTATAGCCATTGATATTTGCAGACTTGCAGTTGAGAGACAGGAAACTTGCAATTGTAATATTTTTCTCTTCGGGTGTATAACAAAGGATTTAATCATGTGCACTTAGAATCAATTGCAATTGTAATATTTTTCTCTTCTAGTGTATAACAAAGGATTTTTTTTTTTGCTAATACTAAGGAGCAAACAAAGCTTAGCTAGAGGAGTCAACGTCCTCAATCACTAAGGTAGCGTTTGGTTCGTTGGAATGTTTCTGAGGGAATTGGAATCTGTGAATGAATTGGAATTTGTGAAGGAATTGGAATCCAATTCCATATTTTGTTTGGTTCGCAGACATGTCAGATGAATTTGATTTCAGTAATGTAAAATGACAGGATTGCCCTTCTTTTTTTTTGCTTAATTTTAATTTGTTTTATAAATTACATGTATCAATATATTATTAAAATTTTAAAAAAAATTAAATTTTAATTTTATTGATCGATTATGCATTTAATAAATTATAAAAATCATGCTAATAAACATCGTAAGTTAAAATTATCTCAATTAGGGATGGTCATGGGTCGAGTTTTTGGTCCATCCGACCCGAGAACATGGGAACCTCCATCCGAGACCCGACCCGACCAAAATAAAGTTTTACCCGACCCAACCCAAATATATGAATTAGAAACCCGACCCGAAATAATAAAAAAATATTTTTATTCAATAAAAACTGTGACTTAATTGAAAAAAAAATATATAGAGGGGTATTATTGTAATTATTCCTAAATATATAAGGTAAAATTATATATTTTTTGGGTCGGGTCGGGTCAGGTTGGGTATTTTTCACCCTAAACCCGAACCCGACCCGACCAAAATAAAGTTTCACCCGACCCGACCCGAATATATGAATTAGAAATCCGACCCGACCCGACCCGAAATAATAAAAAATTATTTTTATTCAATAAAAATAGTGACTTAATTGAAAAAAATTATATATAGAAGGGTCTTATTGTAATTATTCCTAAATATATAAGGTAAAATTATATATATTTTCGAGTCGGGTATTTTTCACCCTAAACCCGAACTCGATCCTAAACCCAAACTCGATCCGACCCGAATATCACACTTAAAAAAATCGACCCGACCAAAATAAAGTTTCACCCGACCCGACCCGACCCGAATATATGAATTAGAAACCCGACCCGAAATAATAAAAAAATATTTTTATTCAATATATGAATAAGTTACCAAAAGATTGATGAGGGTAGTATGGTCAAATTTCAATTTCCTCCAACAAGGGAATTGAATTCCATCATAGAATGGATGAAATTCACTTTCCCTCATTTGATGGAAAGTTGAAGCCATGAGGGATTTCAATTTCCTTGGAAAACTTGATTCAAACATGAGAAAGTGGTGGAATTGGATTCCAATTCCCCCTAATTCCAAGGGATTCATGCGAACCAAACGCCACATAAGACTTCAATTTCATCAAGACTTTCCTGGTACAGCGTCTCCCCCAAAGGCCTTCCTCTAGCCATCAACGCGAGCTTATCTGCCACCCTTTTCACTTCTCGACAAACATGGGAAAACTTCGTTTCTCAGCTCCTCCTCCTTAATTCACGAATTAGCACAACAACAGTGTTCATGTTATCCTCCATAGTCGCCTTGTTGATCAGCTCCACAGCCTTCGCACTATCCGATTCTACCACAATTCTTCGAAATCCCAATCTCCAAGCATGCACAAAAGCATTGTAACATCTCCAACCCATATCCGACCCGAATACGAATCTGAGGTGTCACATTGATTTTTTAAACTTTGACTCGATTCTAATCCTTCAATTGGTCCGGAACGAGATTATGTTCTAACTCTACATAGTAATACATTGATACTTATCAGTATACTAATTGATATATTCGAAACTATCACTCCTTAGGCTAAAAAGAAAGCTATTTTTATCTTTTAATGAAGGTATGCATCGATGCACTACACCATGTATCGATGCATCCCTTGACGGGTGCATCGATGCACTATCTATGCATCGGTGCATAAATCTCATTCGAAGTTTGTATTTTAAGCAGGTGCATCGATGCACTCCTTATGCATCGATGCACTAATTACATTCGATGTTCTATTATTTGATAGTGCATCGATACACATTGAATGTGCATCGATGCACACAACCCAGAATTTGTATTTTAAGCCCGAAAATCATTAATTCTCACTCAATTCTTCTATTTAAACCCCTATCATGTCATTAAACCCAATCATCATTACTTAAACCAACTTATATCCATGAAAATCATCTTTAACCTCAAAATCCTATCCCTCATATGTAATTCAAGAATCATACTCAAATTTCAATATGTTCTAAATACAATTCTAACACTTCCTATTCCTTAATTAGCTTAATGATAAGTCAAATCCCACTTCTAATTCTTATTATGAACTCTAATCAAAGATTTCACTTTTCTACTTCCTTTCTTTAATTCTTCATGTACTCCTCATCTTATTGTTTTAAGATAATCTAAGCTTTCCTTAAGCTTAGTTATCATCTAATGATCAAACCCTAACTTAAATTTTAACTAACAATCAGCTTATGAAAAATCTCACATTTGCTATGAGTCTTCAAGTTTGAGAGAAAAGAAAAGAAGAAGAGAACTCTGGAACCTTGTTTTTCTTTCTTCTCTTCCACGTGGAGCTAATATATATATATCTATTCTTTAATTATTTCCCATCCAAATGACCATTTTATCCTTCTATTCCTTCTTCCTTGCAATTTAACCCTATACCAATTACAATACTATTCAATTATTCTGCTTTAGTCACCAAATTATGAAGTTTTACAATTTAATCACTAACTCGTATTTTGGGATGTTACAAGCATCACGGATGATATCAAATTACCTAAAAACATAAACTGTGAAATGAAATTACGGAAGTATGCATGATATAATATATGATGATTAATGCACAAGAATGGCATGAAATACTTTAAATTGAATAATAAAATAATAAATATTATATACTGAAAAATAAAAGGAGAAACGAAAATAGGACAACATCGCTTAATATTAAAAGTATTAAACTAATCCTAAAAAGTTGTGTGACCGTTTTAATTAAATGATGAATCATTAACTAAAAGCTATCGCGGTCGCCGCTTGATATTAAAAGTATTAAAGTGATCCTTGAAATATATATAATGTTTTCACGAAATGGTCGGTGATCAACTAAAAGATATCGATATCATCACTTAATATTAAACGTAATAATCTGATTCTGAAAATCTATATAATCGCTTCGATTAAATTGGCTCTAAAAATTTATATAATCGTCTTTATTATATAATCTAATTATCAAATAATGTCGTTGTAACATAACAAATATAAATGAATTATATTTCACCATCATTAATATTTTATAATTAAATGAAAATTGACTATAGTCTATAATTGACATAAATTACAAAAAATATATATACAATAATAAGAAAAATATACCGCTATCACCACTTAAAAAATAACGAAACAGTGTAAGTTATCTATTAATCAAAGTAATTATTATGTATAGTTAAATTGAGAAATAAAAAAAGAAAAAAAAATGATAAAAGATATATAGTTGGTGATTAATATTTATCATCGTTCTCATTTAATATTGGAAAATACGTGGAACATCATCGTCGTTGTTAAAAGTCATCACCGCTAGCCATTAATATTAAAAAAATATTTAAAATTACATTGATTTTATGATGTAACTGTTCAATAATGTAACTGTTGAATATATAATCACAATATTTTCATAAAAATAAATTAAAAATTATCAGTATAATTATATAAAATTTAAATTTAGGAATTATACAATACATTTAAGTAAAATTTATACATAGTTTTAATATTTAAAGCTGTCCATTAATATTAAAAAAACATGTAAAATTATATTGATTTTATAATATAATCATCAAATAATGTAATCGTTGAAAAATGTAACCATTATTTTAAACGAAAAAAAAGTCAAAATTGTTTTGATTACAAAATAAAATCAAAATTGTTTAGATTACAAAATAAAATCAAAATTTATTACTAATATAATTATATAAAATTTAGATTTGTATAATAAGTTACATATTTAATTAAAATTTATATATAACTTTATGGATTACTCTTGAGTCTTGAGAGGTAGTAAATGTTTGGCATGCATGGGAATTCACCACAGCTGTTCCTTAACATTAAAAAGCATGTGAATTGCAATGTAACCGTAACGCAACAAGTACAAAAAAACTTGTATTTTATAACTATTAATAAAATCATAAATACTTACTATTTGTAATCACAATCAGGGACGGAAGTAGGATTTCAAGTTAGAGGCGAAATTAAATTTATAAATTTCAGGAAGTGAATTTGAACTTGTAAAATTTCAGGGGACAAAACATATTTTCAATAGAAAATACATAGAAAAAACATAAAATATATGTTAATTTTAGATTTTTAGGAGGACGACTATCCCCACCCGCTCCCCTAAATCCATCCCTAATCACAATGGCTATTGATCAACTAAAAAATATCGATATCACCGTTTAATATTAAAAGAAATAAAATAACTAGTGATCAATTAAAAAGCACCACTATCACCGCTTCATATAAAAAAACAAAAGAATCAATGACCAATTAAAAGGTACTGTTGTCGCCACTTGACGTTAAATTTTTTTCTTATTATTTAAAAATATTTATAAAGTTTAAAATATTTTTGAGATCAAATAATAATTCTTTATTTTTTTCCTTTCAATTTATTTCTCCATTAAGAAAATCACACTACAAATATTTTGAAACAATAATTATACTAAAATATTTTATGCAAATGATAAACTCATGACTTAAATAATTGGATTCTTAAAATATTTGACTTAAATTGCAAATCGGAAATTGTAGCAGAAAACAGATATAAGTGGGAATTTTAGCTCGAGAGGAGAGACACTAAAAAAAGTCATGAAAAGTAGGGACGAGTAAAACTCGTCTCGATTCGAAAAATAAAATTTTGTTTTTAATTTTGAGTTATTCGAGTCAACTCGAATTATAAATTTAGTTTTTAAATTCGAGCAGAGTTGATTTTTGATAACAATTTTTTGCGAAATTTGAACTAAATGCTCTTAAACCATACTAGAATATATGCGTACTTTTAATTCCTCTTTTTGATAATTTTTATTTTTTAATTTAATCCTTCAATTTTTCATAATCTCTTTATTTCTTCAATTTGTCGTTTATTTTAAGTCAATTTTTACCAAATTTGAGCCACATGATCCTAAACCATAGTAGAATGCATATGTACTTTCAATTCATCTTTTTGATAACAATTTTTTTTCCAATTTAATCTTTCAAATTTTCATAATTTCCTTATTTCTTATATTCGTCATTTATTTTAAATATTTTTTTTGCCGAATTTGAGTCATGTGCTCCTAAACCATAGTAAAATATATGTGTGCTTTCAATTTCTCTCTTTAATAACAAATTTTTATTTTTCAATTTAGTCTTCAATTTTTCATAATTTCTTATTCCTTGAATTTGTGATTTATTTTATGTCTTTTTTTTTTATACTAAATTTGAACCCATGCTCATATACCACAATAAAATATTTATGTAACTTCAATTGTTAATTTTTTTTATTACTAAAGATGTACTCTCTTTTTTATTTAGTCCTTTAATTTTGCATTTTACTCAATTTAATCTTTTGACTACAATTGTTTGTAAATTCTTTCTTCTCATCAATTATTTGACTCATTTCTACTCTCATAGTTTTCTCTCAAAATATTTTATTTAAAATATAATATTGTAAATATATTTAGTAATTTTAGATTGTATTTAATATATTAAATAACATTATAATATGAAAGATATATATATATATATATATATATATTATGATTAGATAAAGTCAAAAAATTAGAACAAATCATTGTATAATACTATAAATAATTATAATAAAATTATTATAGAAACTCGAATAATTGGACTCGAATTTATGAAACTTGACTCGAAAAAAATTCAAGTTAAGTTTGAGTTGTAAAATACGACTCGTTAACTCGAATAACTAAATTTTTTTTGACTCGACTCGATCAAATGTTCACCGATAACGGCTGCTGATGATATAAAGTAACATAGTTAAGTGTCAACCACAGTTTGGTTTTAGAGTTGGGGGTTGCTCTATAATCTATATAAGTAGAGAAGGATTGATTCAATGGCACAGCCTGCCAGCAGCAGCAGTCATTACAAGGCTTCATTTCTGGTAAACCCAAATCTCCTTCCTCCACGTTTCCTCGATCCCATGAAAAGGAATCCTGTTTAGTTCTTCTTCTGGGTAATTGTTTCTACTTTCAGCCATGCATGAAATGTTAGATCTCATATTACCTCGATGTGTATTTAATGGTTTCCAAATTGGAAATTTGATATCTTTTCCCCTTACCCTTTTCTTGCTATAGCTTTGATTTTATGTTTTGAACATATCTATTACCATCAAGGTTTGAGCACGGCTGGATATCTATGATGGAAAAGCAAAGAAAAGGGGTTTTATTTTTAGCATTGATCATAGATGAGATGCTAGCTCTAGCCAATTTTAATGCTAAATAAATTATCCTGTTGGGTTCTTTCATCATTTCCCCTTGAATGCTGGTTTTCTTGCAGGTTGCCAGAGTAATTTCCAACATCATTTAGTTTAATATTGAATTTCTCTAATTGCAGATCTCTTTTGTCCATTTTGGAATCCTACACAACAAATGGGCCTCTCAAGTCTACCAACTCCATCACAAGGAATGCTATATGTTCTCTTGGTAAACGCAGCTATGTCGTTATCTGTAGTTAAAGGCATACTTCGTTCCATCCTTCAAATTGTTGGTATCCATATATCGTCGCCATCATCGACATCGTCCCCGGATTTGATGCCATCTTCCCCGGACTCGATGGATGACTCCCCGGATTCGATGCCATCATCGCCGCATTCTGTTTTCCGCAATGAAATAGCTGTGTATCACTCTGCAGCTGAAGTTTACCTCAAGGACTACCGGAGTAGGATCCCGACAACTCGGTTGGACACTTTGAGCAGCAGCCAGCAACCCGAGCATGACTGCCCTGTCTGCCGGTGCGAGTTCGAGCCTGACGCCGAGGTCGATCTCTTGCCCTGCAGCCATCTGTTTCACAAGGAATGCTTGGAGACGTGGCTGAGGTATTTGAGAGGTACTTGCCCTGTTTGCAGGTATCCTCTGCTGTTCGATGAAGTGAATGCCTGCTACTGATGAGAAGATCACAAGAGTGATGAGTTTGAGAAAAAAATCTCCATAGTTCAGCCTGTTTACTACAAGCATAGGTATATATATATATATATTAATGTTGTTAGCTTGGGGCTTAGTGTTAGGCTACCCGCAAGTTTACCTTGATGTGGTGATTTGTTAATGTGCATATTGTCAAGGTTTCTTATGTTATATGGCTTCTTTGACTCGTGGAGTTCTTTCTTTTAGTTCTTTTTAAGGGTTAAACAATGTTTTCCACTAAATTTGAATCTCAATCTTTCTTTTAGTCCTTAAACATTAAAAAATACGTGAAAAGTCATCGTCGTTACCTTTAAAAGATAAAACGATGCTGATTAAAAATCATTACTATTATTATAAAGACACGTAGAAAGTCATCATCATTATTTTTAAAAATTAAGATACGTAGAAAGTTATAATCATTACCAGAAAAACACATAGAAAGTTATCACTATTGTTAAAAATTGCCATTGCTTTCCTCTTAATATTAAAAACCACATAGAAAGTCATCAACGTTATTTATAAAAATTAAGACACGTAGAAAATCATCATCATTACCTTCAAACATTAGAAAAACACGTAGAAAGCTATTACTATTGTTAAAAATTGTCGTTGCTTTCCTTCAATATTAAAAACCACATAGACATCTCTGTTGTTTCTGAGATTTTAGTGGTTGGAGGTGAATATAGAAATTAGTCCCTTAATAACAAGTATTAGAAAAATGAATTAAAGAATAATTAAGTGAAAAGTGAATTTTTAAAAAAAATATCATTTTAGCATCGTTGTTAAAAAAATAATTTAAAAATGTCACTTCAATATTACTGTTAATTTTTTAATGATGAGTAATAAAAAAGAAACAAAATGTAACGTTAAGTATAATTTTAAAGAAAAATAATAATTGGATGGCTAAAACGGAAATAAAATAATAAGTGAATGACTAAATAAATAATTTATTCTTTTTTAATTATATAAAAATTTATAATTTTAATCCCTGAGTAAGTAGGGGTCTGGACGATTGCCCCTTTTTCCCATGCTCATAGACGGGGTTGCACATAGAAAGTCATCAATGTTATCTTTTAACATTAAAAAACATGTAGGAAGTCATTACTGTTATCTTTAACATTGAAAAATACGTGGAAAATCATCGCTAAAAAAATTTAATCATAATATTTTAAAAAATAAAATTTATTAATATGATTATGTAAAATTAAATTTTATATATTCCCAGATTAATTACTTAATAAATTTTATTATTTTAAATTTAAATAAATTACTTATCTCAATAATTGATTTTAACTCGGTCCCTAACCTACTTTCAAGGGTTAGGTATCCTTTATAGACAAAGGTAGTTTATCAGTCCCTAACATGATGTTATGTTCATTTAGATAACAAGTAGTGATAACTGGTGCAGTTTATTGAAATGTAAATAAGTTATAATTACAATTAGAACATATCCAAATGTAGCAATGATATTTGAGAGCTCAGTATAAGGATCAACTGGCTGCAGTACTGCAGGTGTTTACACCATCTTTACAATCCTTGGTCAGATCGTTGAAAGTCTCGAATTGCTTCTTCCCTCTCAAGAAAAGTTCTGCATCGACCGAGGCCCTCATGTAGCCATCGAATTCGACCGCAGCCCCGTTATTAAGTTTTGCCGTGTCTGAATACCATTCACTTCTGTCTCCCCAAAAATCCTTGTAGTCGTCGAGAAAATGAGTGGCGTATTTGTGTTTCAAAGGTTCGAAGAAAGATGTTTCGGGTACATTGGTTGCAATGTACACGTTCCTCCCGTCTTCGATCTTGTTCTCTAAGGTTGAGAGAAGGGCCTCGGGCGAGGTGTCTTGCGCGAGATTAGGCCAGAGGTCCTGGTTCCTCGCTTTTTCACCCCTTATGACGTGAACGGAATCGTAATCCCAGTTCAACTTTGAGCCAATTACTGCCACCAAATCCATCAGCCTTCTTGATTTCCTTATCAGATGCCATGGCCTTTTAACTACGGATCCGGTCTCTGCTTCGCAAACTCCGTACCAGTAATTATCCGGCTCGACGAATCCGAACTTTCTCATGATCAAAGAATGTTTCACCCCGGTAAGATGTTTAGGCGACACCCTGAAATCTTCAACAAGGTAAAGGGACAATTTGTCTTTCCTTTGCCATTTCTCCCAGTGTTTCCAAAACTGGTCCTGATCCAATACTGATGCTGCTTGCTTCAGGTGCTCAAAATCAAAGTAGAATCTGAAGTCTTTCCCTTCTTCGTCGAGTTTTGATGAAGTGTATATGGAAGACAAGCAAAGGGTCATATCCATAACCAGGGTTCGCTTCAAGTACCGTGCTTCACCCAGTGCACACAAGAAACTCCATAAGTAATGCTTCATGCTCTTGCACCTGTCTCCACCACCTACATAAATCAAGTACTTCTGACGAATAAATGCCCTTTCGGACTCGACATCCGGAAGTGAATCGTTTACTATTTCCCCTGCAGCAGGCAAAGAGAAGCCACCTTGATCCTGCATACCTGATGCTGGTTCGTATCCAGGTATTTGATTCTTATTCTTCTTCTTCTTCTTCCTTGCATTGACACCAGAATGATATTCCCCGATGCTCACGACACTAACCGTACAATTCTCCGATCTGTTGATAACGAACCGCCTATAATCTTTATTGAAACCAGTCGCTTTCCCTTTCTTAGGCCTAAACCTCCATGCCATATCACAAGTGTTCCCCTCGGGGCCAGGAGTCGGCTTCCCGAACCGGTTAAAGTGTATATCCTTAAAACGCTCAATAGCCTTTTGCATCATCGATTGGAACACTTCGGGGTCCCTACAATCAAGTGGTTCTTTTGGATCAAACTCGCATACTGATGAACTGGTTTCATCTGTACTCCTATCCATCGTTTCAGCCGCATCTGTAACATGGATCAAAGTAGCTAATGCAGTCTGGTTGGCTGCCAATAAATCCTCCCCTGTTCTAACGACAACATTATCCGATTGAAACGTAGAATTCGACGCGGAAGACAGGAAAGTGGTGATATTTGTAGGAGAGTTGAAAAGAGGGTCATCCGGTTCATAAATTGCAGCTATAATGGTGACCACTAGAGCTGCTATTACAAATACAGTTAAGCAAATATTGGCAATGATATGTAAAGTATTTTTTCCTAGATTTTCTGGCCTAGTGCTTCGAATTCTATGTAACCCAGGACGACCCGACATCTTTTCATTAACTAAAAACCTTTACGATGAACTAAATCTACTTAAAAAGACAAAAACAAAAATACCCAGATTCCCAAAATGCAAGAATTCAGTGAAAAAGATTGAGGCTTTACAGATCAGGGCTCGTAGATCTTGAAAATGAAAAATTTGGCAAGTAATTTAAGAATTCGACTTACCTCTTTCAAGATAAAGCTCTGCCTTTCTAAATGAATGGGTTTGTTAGGATGAAAACAAGAAAAAAAATTGGAAAATTTGTTAATGATTAAATTCATAATCCTACTTTTAATCAATTTTACCAAGCAAAACAGTGAGATAATGTGTAAACTGATGCGCAAAACATGCATGGCTTCAAATGGCTACATGCAGGGACGAATTTTGGGGGCTTTGCATGGGCCTTGCTCCCTTAAATCATTAAGAAAAAGTTTCTTCTTCTTCTTTAAACTTAATTAAAAAGACAACTTTGGCCAAAAAAAAAAAAAAAGAATTTGGTCACACAACCTGAATTTAATGCTCGGCCTCTCCTATGATTTTTTTAGTGGAAATATACATGTATGATAAAAGAAAGGGATTCTATCATAGGCTGATTCAGAAATATTTTGAATGTAAATATACATATATTAATAATATAAAATTTTGATATGTAGATAAATATAAATAAAATCTCACAGTGAACATAAAATAAATAATCAATAGAAATTTTTTTTGATTTCAGGATAGGCACTCGACTATTGTGACTATACGCTACATACGCCACTGGATTCTATATATACACGATGGTCAAGATGTACAACAAAGCCTAATGAAACATGATCCATCGCATTTTGCCCTATTGATTTCACACTCTCTTGGACGATGATCTATAGAAATTGACACGAATTTTAACTGCTGTGCTCGGTTCATGCAGATGGGACTTGGGCAGGTGTGAAGGATGCAACCCTGTATTGGATGCTGAGGTCCATGCTTCTTTGAGTGTCATTATTATTAAGGTTAGTTTATCAAAATAATTTTGAATATGTGAATTGAATTAAAGATTAAACATATCTTAATCATATCAGTCGTCATTGCCATGACTTTCACTAATTGCTTCAAGTCTTGGTTTCCAGAAAACGCCATTTCTCGACTTCCTTTTCTCTCCCTGCTGGGATTCCTTCTTGGAGTTGTAGGCAATGGCAATGCTACCTTCATCCTTCCTGGTTTTAATGGCGGCCAAACCAGTATTGTGCTTTACATCAATGCCTATAAAGCTGACATGTTTCTTTGTTCCATTTTTGTTCTTGGTTTTACCAGTAAATGAGCTACTTACCCCACTTGAATCACTAACTTCCTTGGAGACATCCATGAAGGATTGTGATACTGAAACTTCTATGTCGGGTTTTCTGATCCTTTGGCGAAGCTTTTAATACGGTATGACGAGCGACGGCATATAATTTTTCACCCTGAGAGAGGATCTCATGTGACCGGACCAATGAATCCCATGGTCTCCTGAAAACTTCTGGTCTAGCTATCACGAACGATGGATATTTCTTCATGATATTAACTGCAGGGATTGCCATGTAATAGCACTCGACAGCTCCACCTGGATGAACAATCTTCAGAGCCGAAGACATCCCATGGCTCTCCCTCGGCCCTTGCTGAATTTGAGCCACTGGTCGAGGCCGACCGTGGCTAGAGAAAGGAGCAAGTTTACGGACATTGAGGAACTTAAGCATGTCAACCACAATACCAGTGTAACAGTGCTCCTACTGTGATGCAAGTTCATGACAAATGTGGTTTATAAAGAATCACCTTGACTCTGCTTGTTATCTTGGAAACAACGATGATTACAAGAATAGTAAGAATTTCTAGTTGTTTACACGTCTATATTAATTGTGCCGACTTGCAAGTCAAGTAGGGGATTTACAACTCTGGAAGAAGATAACAACTATGCAAGATCACTATGGAGGGTCCGAGGCCAGCCATTTTTCCTGTTTAGCTTGGGCTGAAATATCCAAAGATGCTTTAGATATCCTGCCAGCTTTATTGTCTAAATATCATATCTGCTTTGTACGTGCATGGCTACTTTGCAAGCATATACCGTAATATAAGGATTGAGATACATGCAACTGTTTCTAGGAAAAGTGAACTAGAACAAATTGGTTCATGCACCAATGCGACTATTGAAACTATTGTTCCTTGAATTCACCTCTTATGTCAGAAATACCTCTTTTAAGGAATAAACTTAATCGCCAAAAGCATTGTCCAAAAAAAAAAAACTTAATCACCAAAAAGATTTTAATTAGAATTACAACAAAATCCTGTTTTAAGAGGTAATCCATTTATATAGTTCTCTTCAGTTGTCAGGTTACTTCATAACAAATGAAACAAGTTCTTATATACTGCATGGAGGAAGCCATGAATATATACAAGTAACACTTCTCGTCAATAGCCAATAAAAAAGTACACCATACATCAGCAGAATCTCACTGTAACAAAAACATGTATACACGTGAATTTTTTTGATTGTCAAACATATATATGAAGAATACACATGTAGGAAACTTTATGCGATAATTTCTTGATGCACCTGTAAGTGGAATAAACTCATCATCATGTGGCACTGGCTGCATTTTTCACTGGGATGACATCATTATTATCTAATTCTATCGTCTTGGGGACCCCTTTCTCAGGTCGGTATAAGTTCATCATCATCAGAAGATGAACTTAAGTTCTAATTTTGCTCGGATGTAGTTGTGGTAACTGTAACAGGCAAATCTGACAGTGATGGCCGTAAGACAAGATAAAGAGCAGGACCTATGAATGGCACGAATGATAAGGGAAGAAGCCAAAAACCTTTGTCATACCTGCAAATAGGAAAAAGCATTCCAGAAACTTATTTCATGCCAAATAAACTCCTTTTAGAGGTTTTGAACTTTAGATTCAAAGCAATGGCATGATAGTCTCTCTTTTTTTCTTACCATTTACGGGCTGTCATATCATTATAAACCCAAAAAGGAGCAAATGCAGATAGTAGAGTAAAATCCAGGGTCATGATGTGAATCTGCAACATAGAGATTTGATTCCCAGCATGAATATATTTTGAGTTCCATGACATTATAACAGCATACTGTCAAGACAATTACAGTCAATCATGAGTACTCAAAAGATGGACGATCTTACAAATTTGCTTTCCCTGAAGTACTGGTAAAACTCTCTCCAAATATCAGCTTCTGCTATACCTGCGTAAATGATTAAACCTATTCCCGCAGCAAGTGACACCTGATGTGTGATGAAGTTATTTGCATTATTGCACCAAAACATTTTTTTGTTACTTTTATCAATGTAACGAAGTGGTTTTATCCCACATTATTAAATTTTATGGAAATTAACAGTTTGGTTATAATTGCTCAAATACAAGGATATTGCATGTAGGGGAGAAACAGAAATACTTACCCCACCAGTTAATTTTGATTCCAGAAAATTCAAAGGCCACTTTCCAAGTTCATTTTCTTCAACAGGTGGTGGTGGTGGACTCCATAGAACAAAATATGGTAAAAGAGCATATGCACCACCAAAGCATGAAAGTACTAGAAACGGCCAGGTGGGAATGTTGTTTTTTGAGCTGCAGGTATATAAAATATTAACTAAAATTAGACTGATTGAACTAATTAACACAAAATGAAGAGAGTGTGCGTCTTCGCACAAAAATAAGACGGACCATGGATTCAAGTCTCGATAACAAGTACATCTGGCAGCATAGGGTCCCCTACTAGTATGTCAAAGTTTAGACCTACTAGATAGTGTGCTGAACCCGAATCCTATTACATTTGCTTCAGAAATAAATGCAACAAAACTAAATCATCATCGATTCAACTAATTCTACCACGCCCTCAGTCCTTTTGCATGCTCCATTTGTAATTCAACACAAGGATAACATGGTGGAGATAACATGTTTAGATAAGGAAAGTAGTGAGAGAAGTTGAAGGCACCTTCTGCCTGTTGGAAGTAGCAGCATGCTGTACACTAATGGCCACAATCCCATGATGTACCACAGGGAGATAAGTACATCGTTCATCCTAAAACCATCATCTCCCTTCAAATTCAGTAGCTTTTTCAAGAAATACATGTCCCTTGACTGCAGAGAATTCACAATCCCATGTTAAGGACGCAATGCAGATGTTAAATTGATTATTTCATGAAAAATATGTAACTCTCAGCCAGTCAGCCTTAGGCATAGTCCGGAGAATGTGATATCACAGCATCATGTTTATATGTTATTAACATTTCAATAGAAGTCATAATTAGCGTGCAAAACAAACGCAAGCGCCACAAATGAATGCAGAAACAAATATAGCAAAAGGAAATGGAAAATTTAAACTATCAAAAGGCCATTTAGGCTTCTCTGGAGAACAAGAGTAACCAATGACCATGACATCTGAAACCCAAGCTTTAGCAATAATGTTTTTGTTCAGAAAAAAATTAACAATAACCACAACAAGGGAAGAAAACCGGCAAATAAATCAGAATACTGAAGCATCAAGAAAAAGCAAGCTATTTTGATTAATGAAAGCCACTTTACTAAATTTCATCTCAATTCCAAATCAAAGAACACAAGAAAGGCAGTCACCATTGAAAAAAAAAGCGAGTAGAAATATACACATACAACAAGAACAATTAGTTGGGTTTGGAAAATACCGGGGTTTGGTCAGGTGTGAGATTGAAAACATAGTACATGAGAGCACCCCACAACACAAAAAGCAAAATCGAGGTCGTCCAATCCCTTCCTTCTTTATTGTCGTTATTATCCGAAAGCCCTTTATCCTTACCCGTTTCTTCTTCTGAGTTCTGGCTGTTTAAGTACTTTTACAAATGTGAAGAACACCCTTTTGTTGAAATGAGGAAATTAAAGGCTTGTGATTGTGGGGCTTAAGGAACACTGAGAAATTCGAGTTCCTTTTGTAAAATAATGGACTCTGATGGCTAAGGTTTCTATCTTGGATTAAAGTTTTGGACTTCGAAGCGTTTTGAGGTACGTGAGAGAAGCTACAACAGATGAGGTTGGTGGTTGCAGACATTGTGAGAAACAATTCTAAAAAAAAATCTCAAAATTTGAGCTTTGATATTAAAAAACTCATGATAAAGCATCAGAAGATGGAACCACTGTAAGATAGCTGTTAGATGTGGCTTGGATCCGAAACGGCGAGCTTTAGAGCTAGAGTACTACTTTGGATAGAACGAATGTGAAGGAAAATAATCCAAAGATATTTGGACACGCGAGCCAAAAAGATGGAGACAAA